ATTTTAATGTACATATACAATGTGTAATACTCAAACCAGGGTAATCAGCATGTCTGTCACCTCAAACGTATTTTTTTGGTACCCAGAATAAACTTAGGACCTTGTGCTTGGCAGGAAGGTATGTGTGCTACTGAGCTGTATCCCTGGTCCTATCACCTCAAACATTTATCTAGCCTCTTAGTGATTTCTGAAACTGTAACCTGGTAGGCCACTGTACAATTTCAAACCCTTTAACACTCTTCTTGGCCCAGGATAGAATTCAAGCTCACTCTGCAGGACTGGAGGCTTCCAGTAACCTCCCTCTCCCCTGACTGCCCCAGCTTCACCCCATTATGACTTTTTTTTGGTACGAGAGATTAAATTCATATCTCGAGCTTGCCAAGCAGGCACTACTTATGCTGCTGAGCTAAACTCCTGACCCCCGTCATGACTCCTGTGGAAGCCCTCTTCCTGCACTGACACCATCCCCTCTCTGCAGCTCTGCCCCGTCACATTCCACTCCCTCAGTCTTTCAGCTTTCTTTAGACTGGGCTTCCTCTTGGCATCTATTTCCTCTGCTTAAAATGTGAACACTCACTGGGTGTGGTGGCACATGCCTGTAATCCCAGCACTCGGGAGGCTGAGGCAGGATTGCCATGAGATCAAGTCCAGCCTGTACTACATAGTAAGACTCTGTCTCAAAAAAAAAAAAAAAGTGAACACTCCATACTCTGCCCTCAGCTCTGCCCCCAATTCTAACTCCTCTTCCACCTTCAGGGCTCTGCTTGCTCCCAACCCGCTGTGCAGATTTCAAGTCTCCTGAATACAGAAGAACACATTTTGAGGTCAAAGGAGGTTAAGAGCAGGAAAGGTTTATTGTGAGCAGGCTCCTGAGGAGGGGTCCTGAAAAGGGTTGCCAGAGGCTGTTTCTCCAAGAATGTTTTATGGTAGTGGTGGAAGCAAAATCACTAGGGGAATAACACGGGTCAAACTACTGTACAATCAACCAGTAGGACTCTAAGTACAGTGGCTTAGCTCATACTGACAGGACAGGGAAGCAAGACAGACAAGGCAGCACCATTAACTTTCGCTTATCTGTAATTTCTAACATAGCAAGATAAGAAGCCTTCTTAGAAAGGGACAAGAAGTGATAAAAGGATGTTTGGATGTTCTGCTCACTCACCGATACCTATCTGGACTTACTGGACTTACTGGTACTAATTACAGTATCATCTCCAGTCCCTGTTTATCTCTTAGGGAAATCTCAAAGGCCTGGTTCCTGCACTTCCATTTTGAGGTCTGGCCTTTTTCAGATGTGCCTCTGGCCATACATTTTTTTCCCCAATCACACTTTTAAGGAGTTTTATCTTTTACACAGGCCCCCTGGAGGGCCTGTCCCTGTCTGACTGCCTATTCGGTCTAACCTAGCTCCCTGTAACACTTTCTCAGCCCCTTCCATATCAGGAACCTTTCTCAAGCACCCAAGAATCTTTAGTACTGGGCTGCGCACTTCAGCCCTGCTGTAGAACCTGAGCCCTAGAGGCTGTGGCCAGTCCCCGAGTCCTGCAGCCCTGTGCTGGGCACCCAGGCCTGCGTGTTTCCCTTGCCATCTATGAAGGGTGTTTCTGGAGTGAGCAAGAGGGAAATGGAGGCAACTGATCCTGAATTTAGATCTGCTGTCTTGCTGATTAAGCTGCTTTTTGTAGTTTATTTGCCTTCCACTCCCCCATGCCATTCCTCCTGTGGAGATAGCCATGGAAACACCCTTCTAAGGAGCATCGCATTCGATGTACAGAGTTACAAAGGTAGCACTGCAATTTTCGATTTTTGAGATTAGAGGTTGTCTTCGTTTCTTGTCTCTCATTGCTGAGATGACATACTAGACACACAAAATTAAAGAGGGGAAAGGTTTATTTAGTTCACAGTTTGTAGAGGCTTCAGTCTGTAGCTGGCTGGCTCCAAGGCACGGTGGCATATGGCAGAGAGGCACCACAGAGCAAAACAGTTCATGGTACCCGCAAGGTAGCAAAACAAGGGAGTAGACAAGACTTTCTCTTACACTGTATGCAGTCTACATAAAAGCACTTACACCCTTAATCCTAGCCAGGTCTATGCCAAACCAATCTGAACTGATTTATTAATCACACATCCTGAATTTGAGCATTACACACTCTGGATCCAGCTACTTCTGAAAAAACCCTATGACACCCATGAGGCTTTCGGGGGAAATCTAGATATAAACCATAACAGGAGTTAAATCCAATGTCCTCATTTCAAATGGAAGAAAATCGAAGCCCTAAATGCTGATGTGGTTTGTTAGCAGCAGATTGTTGTAGCTATCAAACTGGGACTATGCCTCCGATTGGTTTTTCTCTTTAACTGACAGCCTATACATATTTATGGGGTACAATATGGACAATCCGATATATGTACCAAGTGCATACTAGTCAAATAAGGATCATTAGTATTGCACTCTCCCTAAACAAAGCTTAATATTGGGAAGCTTCAAACTCCTCCTAGCTCTTAATATCTAATAAATTGTGAAACAGTCACACTACTATGATATACATTCTAACTTGCTTTTTGCAGTACTATAGATTGAACTCAGGACCTTTATACTGAGCTATCTCACCAGCGCTTTTAAAACATGAAGAATTTTAATCTTGGCATAGTAGTACACATCTATAATCCTAGTACTCGGGAAGCTGAGGCAAGAGGATCACCCATTTGAGGCCAGCCCGGGTAATTCAGTGGACCTGTCTCAAAAGTGCTATGGAGGTAGCTCAATGGGAGATTGCTTGCCTAACTTGTGTGAGGCCCTAGGTTCGATTCCTAGTATTGCAAAACAACAAAAAAGCAAGCCAAACATGGTAGTACATGCCTGTAACTCCAAGTGTGTGGGAGGCTGAGGCAGGAGGATAATTTGAGCCCAGCCTGGACAAGTCAGGATCTTAGCAGAGCCTTGCCTCAAAATAAGACATTAAAAAGGTTGGAGACATATAGTTCAGTGAGGGTTCTGGATTCAACCTGTACTATCAGGGGGAAAATGGCAAAAGCAGAATAGCAAACTAATCATAGGCCCCGTGGAACTGCAGTTCCCATGGCCATGAAGCTGGCTTTGGGCTAGTTTCAGGATCTGAGTCTTAGGAGACAGACAGCTTCCAATTTGGTCATTCTGTCTCTAAAAGGTTTGCCATCATTGTCCTAGAAATATTTGTTACATGAATTGTATTTTTCAGTGTTCTAGTTAGATGAACATCCTTGTTTTTTTGGGACACTTTAAGATTTCCTAAGAATAGGGTTGGGCTCAGGATTTCCACTTCCTCAATGAACCAGGGAGTTAATGTGTTGCTAACCACTTTCAGTTTCAGTGTGGACCTGGATATCTACATCAGCATGAACTCTGCTAACCACCTACTGAAACAGAAATTGTCAACTTCCTCCCTAATCCTTTCCAAAACTTTTGAGAGAGCCTGGGGGTGCAGCTTACCGGACAGCACTCAGCTGGCATGCATTAGGTCCTAGGTTCTATCTTCAGTACCAAAACCTCCTTCCCTCCCCCTAAAAAACCTGGACTATACATCCAGCTTCCCCTATGGTTACTTCTTTTCAGTCCTGGCAAAGGAACTCAGGCTGTCAAACGTCAAGTAAGTGCTCAACCACCCAGCACAGCCTGGTTATTTTTTAGTATCTTGAATCATGGCTACAGTGGTAACAACACGTTAGTTGCTACTAATGAGGGTTGTAAAACCTTTTTCTCATCTGTAAAATGGGGCACTACCTGATAGGTCCCTTTCCAATGTGTGGCAGCCAGGGGTCATCTGACAGGTCTCAGGAGAACAGGTTCCCACTGCTGCTTTGGGGATGGAACACCATGCCTCTATTCCACCAAGCAGAATCCAAAGCCGGGTGGGACTGCGTGTCACCCTGCTTTCCAGTCAGAACCCTGGAGTAGGAACTGTCACCTACCTAGCAGCTGACATTGGTCACTGACCTCGAAGGTAGACATGTGTGGGGGAGGGGAGGTTGATACCCACAGCAGGTGCTGAACCAAGTGTTTTAATACATTCCACTTTGTTCTCACACCTCTAAGGGGTACCTATTTCCATGGGGACACTAATCATAGCTAGGTTTTCTGGATAGTGACTTGCTATAATCAACTGAACTCTCAATCACCAGTCTGCTGCCACCTGCCTTTCAGGGGGTCAAGGAAGGGGCAGTGTTGCATGCCCAACCATAATGTCTGTCACTTTCCATCTCAGCTCTACTACCCATTCAAGGTCCAGAAAGCTATAAGGTCAATTTGGCCTTGTCCTTGTTACCTGGGGGCTGTCAGGATGTCTCACACTTCACTCTGAATGAGGCTCAATTATTTCTAATACGCCAAAATGGTTAAACTGCCATTGTAACTCAGTTAATTCAATCAACTGCCTGTGCTCTGGGCTGAAACTCCTCCTAGTGGGGCCCCACTTATCATGTGTATCTAGATGCTTCCCAAAACCTTGCCCTTTCAGATAGGGATTTTTCAGAGGCAGCTCAGTCTAGAGTTTGTGGTTAACTCACGGTTCAGTGCTAGGATTAAGGATGGATGATTGCGGTATCTATCCAGTGACTGGATTTGCACTGCCGTAATCCCAGTAGTCTGGATAAGATCAAAGTGGTAGAAAGATGCTTGCCTCCTTCTTTTGCTCTTGCTGTCTTCTGCTGCCACAAACCATTCATTGTTCCACTGCTGATGCACTGAAACCTCCACAAACAGTGAGCAAGTAACCTTTTCTCCCTCAATTTTGGGTGTCAGGTACTGTCTCAACAATGGGAGAAAAGTGAACTAAGACACTTGCAACCTTCACCTGCCTTCTCAGCTAGGTCCCTACACACTAATGAGCTGCCACTATTTAAACCTCATTACAATTAAATCAGCCCCTTGTGTCAAGCACACTTCAATACCAGGTAGCCAGAGAACAAATCACTGCAAAGTACAGAGTTGTTATGTCTGGTAGGAGAGGAGAAATTAAGAGTAGTTCAAAAGGTTTCCAATATTTATTGTTGACCCATTAGTGCTTATCACATTGTAATCACTAGTGAAAAATATCTTGAGACCTCCGATGGCTAAATTTGCTGAAGCTCACGTGCAATTCCTTATAGTCCCAGCTTGGTCCTCCTCCAGTGTCTCCTCTTGGAGTTGTACCTACAGAGAAGGAAGCTGCAGGTTACAATCAGCCTGGCTGCCACTTAGCTGTTTCTGTTCACAACTTAGCTTTTAGGCACAACAAAATTCAAAGGGTTCCCATTTTTTCCTTCTTTTAGGTCTCTGAAGAGTAAAGAAATGATTTGCTCCATGTGATTTTTAAAGAATTACTTAAGCCAAACTTTAGCCTCTCAAAACGACTCACATCTAGGGTCACTTCTTTTATTTTTGTAGTGCTAGGGACTGAATTGAGGGGCTTGTGCAAGCTAGGCAAACATCCTATCACTGTTACATTCCCAGTACTTTTTGCCAGCCTGCCCTTGAACTTGTAACACTCAGCTCAGACTTCTAAACAGCTGGAATTACAGTTCTGTGCTACAGCACCCAGTTGAAGATGAGTTCATCAGGGAAAGAAGCAGTGGGGGCTCCCTCCTTCTCTTTCCTATCTTTGATTCAAAGAGCTGGGGCAGATGCAGACATGCTTTGAAATTAATGCATCACAGAAACTCTTATGGATTACAATACATTAACATCTCACTCATGCCTACCTCAGAGCAATACTGATTTGTACAGTAAAGCCATGTGAACTGTCCATGCCAATCTGTCATGATTTTACCCTCATAAAGGCAAAATCAAAACCAACCAACACAGCCTTTTCTTTTAGCAGGGTAATGGCAGTACTTCCACAAAATGAAGCACCGTAATTGCAACCTGCTTTTAACACACATAAAGTCCTAAGAAGGGACATATGGAAAAACAGGCATTCTTACAGATACAGCAAACAAACCACTGCTCACTTTTTCAAGCCCTTTTTCTCACTGCTGTATAATGGAAAGACCATAGGCCAGTGATAGTGAACATTTCAGATTTCAATGATGCAAAGAGTCTATGGCAACATGTGTGCCATAGGTTTGTCACCACTGCCACAGGTTTTAAAATCTGTCAGTGCCCGTGCCCCAGGACAGGTCCTGAACACATTAGTACATATAAATAATATAGGGCAGTGGGAAGTACACAGCTGAAAAAAGCAATTAATTAGTCTATAAAAATATAGTGGTTACCAACTTTACACATGTCTAGCTGGTTAAATGAATTAAGGAAATAGACCCTCGAGCTTAGCTACAATAATTTACATCTTATCAACAAATTGCTCCCACCAGATCTGACAATTGAAAAAACCGAGAGTGTTCTACTTGCTGAGGCAGGAGAATTGTTCACAAGTTGGAGACCAGCCTAGGCTACAAAGTGAGCCCAAGGCCAGCCTGAACTGCATAGCAAGATGGTCTCAAAAAGACAAAAAAAAAGTCCTTGGAAAGTAAGACTCTTTATTAATTTCTTTTTGCTCGCTCCCTCTAAGGGTTTGGAAGAGCCAGGAAACCTGACAGATCATTTTAAACTCAGAATGTTTCATCACTCCGGGACCATCACAGGCTGCTGAATACTGAGCAAATTTCACTGACTTTTGATGCTCATTTCTCCTCCCTTTAAGAATTATCTCAGGCTGAAAAAGTTTGGAGTTTTGGGTCTAGTTCATCTTGGAGGTCCTGCATAACACGTCTCTGCAGAGATCATCAAATGAAGACTACCAGGAAATTAATAAGGCTCTGAGCAGTAGCCTGGGTACAGTGTAGAAACCAAGGAAGCACATAAAACAAACAAAAAAATCTCAGAATGGCGGCAGAGTATGGCCTGGGTTGCATTAACTTTCATAGCGTGTATTTAATTTCAAAAAGTAAACTGAAATTCAACAATTCAAGCAAACAACAACAACAACAACAACGAAACACACCACAACTGGGATAATAAGAGGATTATCTTACCTGATTTTATTACCAGTCTTCATCCGAATCCACTGAGGAATGGGACGATTTTGCTTTTGCTTCTTGGCCAAGAATCGTTTGATCCTGAAAGTCTTGTGAGAAGACTGTAAGGAGACGCAACCAATTTAAAGTGATGCTAAAGCCTGTTCAAAAAGTCACTAACTCCTTCGATCCAAACAAATATTTGAGTACTTAACATACGCAAAGAACGTCTTAATGCTAAATTATCGAGTTCATTCGATCTACACTTTTCTGGAAGTAGTTACCATGCTCTCCACTTTTCAAATAAAAATAAGCAGTGAACTGGGTGCAGTGACACAGGCCTATAACCCCAGCACTCGGCCGGGGCAGGAAGATCCCGAGTTTGAGGCTGAGCTTCTCTGAATTCAAGGCCAATCGGCACTACAGTGAGAAACTGTCTCAAGTAAAAATAATAAAGCAGAATAAACAACGTAAGTAAACCGTCCAAAATCAGGTATTAACGGGGAGATGTAACTTAGCATTCACCTTGTAAAGTAGAAGCTACTTTCAAACAACATTTCGAGGCTAAGATTTATGCAAAGTTTCGATATCTAGTAGACCTAACCCATTTACCATTTCGGTAATTCGTCCTATTTAAAATGTGACTTCCTCAAGGACGAATTTCCTAATTTCCCGATCAATCTTTTAGCTTTACGACCTTGGTTACCTAAACCCAGTGAAACTAACTTGGCCCAACACACCTAGTGCCCATAATAAAGAATTTAAAGACGACGCTCGTGAACCACAGTCCACAGTAGCAGCTGTGGACCGTAAAGCAATAAACAATAAAACTGAAACACTGATCCCCTCCATGCCTAGAAGCCACTGAAGTATTTCTGAGCAAACCGTGTCACAGCAGTGACTGGTGCGCTACTGACATTTACTAAGAAATCTCGAATGACACAGGTTCACACAATGCTCCCGAATACAGGAGCTTCCACGAGGTGACGTTTAAGTCTCTGAACAAATGGCTGAAAGCACGGTGGTCTCATAATGTTCCGCGCTCCCCTCCCACTGCTCAGGATATCTTGCAGTGGAACCACAGCTTCTGGGGTGGTCCTGCCACCTCTCTTGCTGTGCCCAGAATCCCAGTTCTCTCCAGTGGAAGGGAAGAAAGAATCCTCATGCTCCTTTCTTTGGCGGGGCCCGGGCACCAGAGCGCCCCCTCGAATTCACGATGCTGGCGCACCCCGCCACTCCTTTGGGGCTCCCTAGCTTCCCGCCTGACCAGCGAATAGAGTGGCCAAATTCGACCTTCTTTTGAAAATGCTTTCAAAATGCCCCTGCCCTTCGATGCTCCGTGTGGCCCTAGCGAGTCCATGGCAGTCTCTTGCCTTGGGAAGCCACCGATGAGCCGATGGCGGCCGATGGACTCACCATGATTTGACTTGAAGGTTAGAGCACGCACTCGATGGCGGACGCGAGCAGAAGAGGGGGAAAGTAGGCGGAAGCACGCATTTAGAAGGCGCCGCAGAGAGGCGGAGTTTAGGCGGTGACGCCCGGCGCGGGCTGCAGCCTGGGGAGCCCCTAATCCTTTTACCTCGTTTCCCTTGCGCCTGCGCCCCGGGGTGGCGGCGTGGGAACGAACCTGCGCTGGTAGGTGAGATTTGGAATTCGCTCGGCTTCACTTCGTAAAGATGTTCCCTCAGTGCTGGAGGCTGCCGGGTTAATGGGTGAGGCAGACAGCCTACGCTAAGTACCAAAATTGAAGCCCTCCGAAAAACGCAAACCAGGCGCAGAGGGGGCGGGGCCAACCCGGAGAGAGGGCGGGGACGGCGTGCGTCACCTCTGAGCGCCGGGCTGCGGCCCTGGCTTTGGACGGAAGCGCGCCTCTCTAGGTGCGAGGGCCAGCAGCCCCTCGCCAGGCCCTTTCCTTAGAGGGTGGTGAGGTGCGGACGGACTGTGGTGGTGTCGCAGGAAACTGGAGGGATCCTTGAGGGCTGGACCACGTGGACCTTAAAAGTGTAGGGAGGGCCTTGGGGTTTTCAAGTGGGTAAAACATTTGTCAGTTGGCTGCTAGGAATCAGAGACTGATCTTGTCCACCTTCGGTAGGATGTACAGAAATTAATGGCACGCCTTTGGGATGCAAGGGTTCCCTATTTTCATCTTCTTTTCCCTACTTAAAAACTTGAGCTACACCTGGTTGGGGGCATAGCTTAGTTGTGGAGCACTTGACAGCATGTGCAAGGCCATGGGTTCCATTTCCAGCACCACAAACAAGCAGAAGAAAAACCCACAAAAACCTCGGTATATCTTTGCAGTTACCGCAACAATTTTGCACTGATGGATTGAGGGATGAACGTTTAATCGGGTCTGCAAGAGTCCACGTGTAGAATTCAGAGCCTGTAAACTTAGATTGAAAAATACAACTATTTAAAACAAAGTGACTGATTGTAAAGCTTGTTTTATTTACAAATGTAGACAACAGACCACAGTGGCATTGGTGGTACTTGTGATTGGTTGCCTAGAGAAATCATAAATGCTTTTATACATTACAATTTATGGAGAGATCTTGAACTATCGTTTAAACATTCATTGATTGATTGATACGGGGTCTGAGTTTACAGTTCAGGCTGGCCTCGAGCTCAGCAATCATTCTGCCTCAGTCTCCCAGGTGTTGGGATCACAGGCATGCACCACCACACCTGGCTAGCTCATATTTATTTTTAAAATATTGTAATAACTGTATTGCAGTGTTAACTTTTTCTTTGTAATCTTAGGTATTGAGAAATTTCTAAAAGCCTGTTGTGGTTAGACACATCTATAATTCAGCCACTCCAGAGGCTAAGTCAGGAGGATTGACAGTTGCAGCCTAGCCTGGACAAGTTATCAGTTTAGCAAGACCTTGTTTCAAAAACTTCTGAAAATAAGACCATAGGCTTTATCAGACTATTCATACCACAGAAATGCTTACAAATCCCTGGGCTGGATTACAGTGACAGATTGTTGAATAAACAAACTTGCTTTCTGTGCCAGATGCTCTGTTCCCTCATGAATCCCACAGCTTTTCCCGCATTTCCATCAAGTCCAGGCTAAAGTGTCATCACTTCAGTGAGATCAGGCCCTGAACATTCCGTTCCTCCCTTCTTTGCCTGCTTTGCATTCTTGATAACACTTATCCCCTTCTAGCATGCCGTATGTTATTTCTTTATGGTATAGTTCCCCACAGTCATCATGCTCAATGAGGTCAGAGATTTTTACCGCTTTTTACTCTGGGGCTACGAGGGTAGCTCAGAGATAGAGCACATCTTTAACATGCACAAGCCTTGGGTTCAATCCCCAGCACCAAAAACCCCCACAACTTTTTACTTTGAAATAATTATAGATTGCAAAGTAATGGCCAGGACGCCCCTCAAGCCAGCCTTCCACAGGCTCAGCATCTTGTGCAATTATGGTACAGTTGCACAACTGGGACATCTACACCAGCATGATCCACAGGGATCATTCAGATTTTAACAGTTAGGAATACACTTGTACAGGTATACACTTAAAATACATACAGTTAATACATGCACATGCATGTGTAGTTCTACACACTTTCATCACAATTGCAGCTTTGGGTAACTCCTACCACAATAAAAATAATGTATAGAACTAGGGTTGTGATTGTAGCTCATTACTAGAGCACTCGCCTAAGATTTGTGAGGTCTTGGTTTCATTACCAGTATTGCAGAAACACAAAATCACCACACCAGCCAGTGATAATAGAATGCTTCTGAAAACCAAGTACTGTGGATGGCTGAGGCAGGAGGATTTCAAGTTCTAGCCCAGCCTGAACAATTTAGCAGTTTAATGAAACCATCCTTGTCTTAAAATTAAAAAAAAAAATGAACCGGAGACAGCTCAGTGCGGAAGCCCTAGCATCGGTCTTCAGTACCAAAAAATAAAAATAAAAAACCAGAACCATGTGATCATCACAAGGTCAGGGGAATTTTTTTTGCCCCATTTTCTTCCAGCACTAAGAAGCAAACCTGACACAGAGTAGGCTCTCAATATCTATTGAACGGAAAAAGCCATTGGACATCGTGGTGTCATAGGCCCTGGGTGTCAAGTGTGCAGTATACGAGCTAAGCGACCTTTGTGATAGAATTTGGTCTGTCTGTTCTATCATTGACTCTTCTGTAAAGTAGGAATAATGAGTACTACTGATTCTGTCACAGTGCTGGGTGAGGATTCAGTCACTGGTAGGTTATGCTAGGCATGTTACTTATGCCATGAGTTAGGACATGTAGCAAGCAATAGCCCTCAAGCTCAGAACCTGAGCTGAATTGTTCTCCTCAAGGTACTACACTGAAGGCCACAAAGCATGACTGTTTAAGGTCAGCCTGGGCTACAAAGGGAGTTCAAGGCTATCCTAAATTGCGTATTTCCAAGCCAGTTTGTGAAACATAGTTGGACACTCATCTGTGAAAAAAACATGCTTTATAAGATTTTTTTTTTCAGTACTGGAAATCAAACTCAGGTTCTTGGGCAAGCTAAGCAAAAATGTCTTACTGCTGAGCCATACTCCCAATCCCCTACAAGTTTATTCTTATTAAAAATATGAACTATGATTTACGAGAAGGTGGTCCTTACCCTGCTCTTTCCAATACAAACAGGGAGAACAAAGAAAATGTTATTTGGTTCAAAAATCTCCCCTAAACTGGGCATCATGGTACATGCCAGTAATCCCACCACTCTGAATCTCAAGTTTGACCCCAGGCTGGATAACTTACTAAGATCCTGTCTCAAAATTTTAAGAAATATAAGAAAGAGATGGGGATGTAACTTGGTATGAAGGCTCTGGGTTCAATTCTCAGTACTTAAAGTCCCCCAAGACTCGTGTTCATCGGTGAGGCCTTTGAAAGGTGATTAGATCACAGGTTGCTCATGAGGCTCAGTGGATTCTTTGGAGTCCATAGGTAAATGCAGTGTTAGGAGGTGGGCTTTACTGGAGGAATATGCCCAGAAGGTCCTATTTTGTCCCCAGCTTTCTCCTCTCTGGCTCTTTCTGTTTCTGCTTCCTGGGTGCTATGGGCAGCATCTCTCTGCCATTTCCTTTAGCTGGTGATGTTTCTGTCTTGCAGCCCACTGACCACAGACTAAAACCTCTGCAACAAGGAGCTAAAACAAAGCATTCCTTCTGTAAATTGTGCGTGTCAGCTATTGTGAGCCAGCGATGGAAAGCTGGCCAATTCAGGAACAAACTAGAGCAAGACAGGGGTTTTAAAAAAGGGTGAAAGAAGCAAGGAGTGGTGGCTCACGCCTGTAATCCCAGCACTCTGGAGGCTGAGGCAGGAGGATTGTTGTGAGTTTGAGACCAGCCAGGGCTACAAAGTGAGCTCAAGGCCAGCCTGAACTGCATAGCGAGACCCTGTCTCAAAAAGACAAAAAAAAAAAAAAAAAAAAAAAAAAACCCAAAAAACCAGGTATGAGTGTCACTGTATAAAAGAATATCAATTCAAGATGGTTTAAAAAATGCTTAGCAGGAGGGTGGGCCCTCCTGTGGGTGTCATTAGTTGATCTGGTTTGGGGCTTTTTTCCAGCAACATTTGGCATCGTAGGGGCAGAAGACTCCCACATCTTGCCCTATTGCAGCCCTCCTCACATTGGGCATTATGCCCTGATTATTTCTATACTACCACTGGGCTATGAATTCAAGGACAAAGACCTGAATGTTTGACCCCCAGGGCCTGGCACAGTCAGTGATATATATCTGCCGATAAAGGATTAGGGGAAATAAAGGGGGGACAGGGAAATGTGGTTGACCCAGAGGTTGGCTGTCAAGGCAAGCAGGACAAAAGAGGAGGTGCTGACAAGAAAAATTCCATGAGTCTAAGCTCAGGAGTGGCTGGGTAAGGAGGTCAATGACATAGTCATGACAGATGGTTCAGGAACCTCTGCCCTTTACCTTGGCTTACATTTTCACCTCCTCTGAAAGAAACCTACACTACTAATCATTACTTCTCATGGGCAGTTATCCACTTCTGGAGCTTTTCTTTAGGCCTGTAAACATTATGTAATATTTCTCATACTTCAAGTCAACTTTTATTATACCATTTATCTATCTGCTTTTTATTTCATGTTCAAACTCCTAGTTATATATATGTATATACTGTCTCTAATTTGTCCAGTGGCTTTCATGTCCCATAATTCCAGCCATGAATGAGTTGTGTCACTGAATCCTATGGGTTTTTTTTTTCTAATATCTGAGTCTGCTGGCCCCTTTTTGTGTTGAGAGAAGGCCTTACTGTGTAGCACTGACCTTGAACTCATGATCTTCTTGCCTTAGTCCCTGAGTGCTGTGATTACAGGTGTGTGCATTGCTGGTATTACAAGTGATGTACCACTGAGCTACACCCTTAGCCTACCTTATACTTCTTAAAAAACTCTTGGATAAGTAACACCAGTCTTCTGGTTTTTTCTCTCCTCTCTGGCTATTCCTTCTGTCTCTGGAGGTAACATTTCTTTACCAGTGCAATAACATGAGTGTTCTTCAAATCTGGGCCTAAGGTCTGCCTCTTGTTCTTTCTTCATTCTTTTTTTCCTGAAGTAACAGAATCCATGTTCATCACTTCAGTGAAAACTTTGA